CGCCAACAGCGTTGCTGGGTGCACGATAATTATCGTATTTGTATCGTCATTTCCACCCTTGTAGGATTTGTGGTCAACAGTAGTAAAAGGGTTCAAAGTGTTCGGTCATTTTGGAGGCAGCGCACTGATGCAGCAGATGCAAAATCCTAGTCACTCTCAGAGAAGCTTACCAGACTTGCAGGTTTGCTGTCAGGCAACACTTCCTTACGAGGGACTGCTCACCTCCAAGTAAAGCAGTGCTTCAGCTTCGACCCAGTTCTCACTCTCACTGGCGAGTTATAGTGAGCAGTATAAAGTAAATAAGACTTATCTGCATACTTATTTTCATGCGTGTTTGCATCAATTTTGTGTACAGTAGTTTTTCAGCAAATGCGATCATTTTGAGCTTCCAATATGAGAATTTCATATTTAAGACATGGCAACACTGAGCGCTGGTGTTGGTCCCACCTTGAGCACAGGTGCAGCTGTGGGGTTTGGACTCTAGCAATAGCCGCGGTTCCACGGGGCCTGATGCTGCCTTTGGGGCGCAGCTGTGCTCAGTTTGTAGAGTGCGGCTATGGCTGCGGCTGAGCCGTAGGGCGGTGGTGGCACATGATGAACCAGACGGTAGCCCAGTCTTGTGCCCCAGATGGACCTTGTTGCTAGTCCAGGGCAGTAGACAATCTGCCTCAGAGCAGCCCTGTCACTAGCCCTGGCGCTCCCAACAGCTCTAGACTGGAGGCGCCCCTCGGAGTGCCAGCGTCTCAAGGAACGAGCAAAAACTACAGAAAAAGAACAGTGGTTGTTTTGTGGCGAGGACCTTGGAAAGCCCCCAGCTGGTCAGCATGCCTCTATCGCTGTGGATGCCTATTTGCAGTCTCTGAGTATATCTTGTGAATCACGTTTGCACCTATGACTGCACTAGTATTGAGTGGTACCGTGCAGCCACCATGAAAAGATCTTAGAATTGCTCCTGTAGTATTTACAATTATAATTGCTGCGTATCTTGACCAACCAGAAAGTGGCACAGCTCTCAAGTACACATTGGAAAGGGTTGCTGACCTCTGCTTGGCTGCAAATCTTCAGTTCCCGCCCCCCATATCTCAGGACATTCCTGGCCCCTCTACAATGAGGGTAAGCACAGGTGGGGGAGAACAGCATGGAGAGTGCTGCATAGGGGATGGGCAGCTTTGCAGAGTTTTGTGTCATCTGGTTTACCCCCAGATGTTTTCTAGTTGGATTGAATCTCTTTGCAGGCTGGATCTAACCCAGGGTTGCAGATTGCTGAGCTCTGCACTACTTTCTTTCTTTCCCTTATTTACTAGGTTGTGGTGTGTATGTGTCTGCACAACATTAACTCCTTTCTTATTTCTGAACAGTGTGCATGGTACCTCCTTCAACCTCAATTTGTCTTTCATCTCCAATCTTTCCTCTAAATCCTTTCTGCAGTACTTCTAACTTCTCTTCAGTATCTCAACCTCTTGCACTTGCCATTTATCCACCCCATAACACCTCCATAAACATGTGCATATATACTGAATACTATAATGTTAACTATACCAGCTAGGGTAGCCAAAGGCTGATATGAGGCACTATCCAGAGTTGGCATCCAGGTGACAAGTCAGTTCTTTTCTCCCTTGCTTAAGCTACCAGGAAAGGGCAAGGTGCTTATCTTTGCTGTTTCTGATCTAAGTTGCTGTTTCTGAGGTTCCTAATTTTTGTCTTGGCCTTTGGTTAGTACTTCTGGCATGTGACTAAAGTTAAAGCTCTCTCAAGCCTGTTTGACTGCCCAGAGGAATCTGTTCCCCTTTATAACTGCTGCAAGTGAGTGGGAAGCCCCCAATACACCATTCTTCCTTATATCTACTTTTTACAGCACCACGAGCATTGACAGCCACTCCATGGTTTTTGTAGTTTCCTTTGAATGCCACATCAGTGAGAGACATTTTTTGTTTGTATCTCTTGTTGATGGATTACACAGGGGAGATGCTGACCTAATTTCTTAGTTTTGGTGCTATTCAGGAGCTAGCCAATGTTGGCTTAACTGCATACAAAAGTTTTGACAATAGAAACTGCACCCTACTTTCCTGCAGACTGAGAAAACTGAGTGCTGTTCTTTTGTTTCCAGGAAAATGCCGATCCTCAGAAGATGGCCTTCCTTCTGCGCAAGCAGTGGGCCTTGTACAGCGTGACACCTCTCTACAAATTTTCCTATGCAAATATGAAGGAGTATTCTAGGCATCTGAGTGCCTTTGTTGCTGCTGAAAAGCAGAAAGGACTTGCTGTGGAAGTGGGAATTGATCTTGGTATCAAAGTGATTTTCTCAACTCTTCTAGGACTAAAAGGTACTGATCGGGACCAGGCTGCAATTCTTGTTCAGGTAAGGACCAAGCTATCACTACTGTTGGCAATGATGCACCTTGATTCTTTTGAATTGTCTTAAAATATACACATCTGTCACCATCCACATTTTTATGTAACCTTGGATTAAAATATGTCTTCATCCTTGGGGATTTTCATAGACAATGGACCATTCAACCATTACCATGAGCAGAGACCTTTATTAGGTGCTGTGCAGATCCAGGACTCCATACTTTGGGTTCTGTTATTGCATCTGCCGTCAGTTTATTGTTGTCTTGCACAGATCTCTTACCATTTTCTTGGGAAAATGGACCTAGTGCCACACTTAAAGCCTGTGTGTTTCTAAACTGCTTTGTCCATCTATGAAAGATGCTATTGAAATACACATTTCCATATAGAAATCACTATAGGAAAACTAATTCCCAATACAAATTCTATGTTCAAGCAGCATTAATGTAGACTTGAAGGTTGCTTCTGTTCCCATAGAAGTAAATGGCAATATTTCCACTGATATTTGTTTCTTCCAGTTAACCCTTTAGATCTATAATAGCAACAACTGTTTCTATGCTTTCCAGGTAACACAGCTTGTTTCATTATGTGTACTAACAGCATACTAAGAACTGGTCTTGGAGCAAACTCTTTAAAATGGACACTTGAACCCATAAAGGGTTTTTTTCTTTTGTGAAATTTGGGCCAGTAGTGTGTGCAGGCAGTAGTCCTTTTGAACTTTTTTTTTTGGTGCAGTGTTTCTTGTCCTTTAATATATCTTAAAACCTGTTTCACTGTTGCCAAAGTCTTCTCAAATACTAGTTTAGAGGTTGATGCATGGGTTTAAAATAATATGCAGACATGACAAAAGTCCCTGCACCTGTGCAATGTACTAGACTCTGTTGTAGTTAATCCATAGATTCACAGATGCTAGGTTCAGAAGGGGCCTTAGCAGATAGTCTGACAGCTAGTTGTATAAACCCATGTTAATTACACCTGTATTAATGTGTCATGACCTGGTTTTTAATTTGAGTGTTCTCCTGTCTAGATTGCATCAAAAACCCAGACATCTGGAAAGGAGGAAGAAAAGGTGGTGTGGTCAGGTTGGTTCTGCTGTGTGTTTGGGGATGATCTTTTGGAGAATGTTCCAGAGGATTTTACCTGCTTACCCCTATTTCTTGCAAATGGGGCAGAGACTTATACAGCCATTATTGGAACCTGGTTTCAGAAGACTTTTGACTGTTGTTTCAGTCGTTTAACCATCAGCCCACTTAATCTTGCTTGGATGGCTGCAATGTGGACTGGATACAAAGTGGACAGTCATGCAGTTGCAACAGAACTTATTTTCTCTGTGCCCTGTATTCCTCAGCGTTTGGACATCTCCTATGCCATACACCCAGAGGATGCACAAGCCCTTTGGGACACAGTCCAGAACACCCAGGGAGAGGTCACTCAAGAAGAAGTGGACTTATTTATGGACTGTCTTTACTCTCACTTCCACAGACACTTTAAGATCCACTTGTCAGCTACAAGACTAGTGAAAGTCTCTACATCTATAGCCTCAGTGCACAGTGATGGCAACCTAAAGGTATTGTATTGTATTCTGGTTAGGGGGTATTGGATGGCACACCATCATGACTGACTGGCATAAGTCAAATAAAATAGTCTCACCTGGCCAGACAGATGGATGTTCTCAAATTCGGGAGGTCAATTGGTTTTCTCATGCATAACTTTTTAGGAGGAAAATATCTGGTTTTAAAGACATTAGCACTTACCAGATTTAAGTGTTCCATGGTGTTGCATAGGAGAGCTACCAGTTCTGCTTTAATTCAAGATCCAGTGTAAAGTTTTCAAAGTACTTTATTAGTGGACTGAAGTAGTCTAACAGCCCTAGTCAAGGACCAGGACTCTGTGCCCAGGTGCTTCACAGACACAGAACGTAGACAGACCTTGTCTGTGTCTCAGCTTTTAGCCAAAATTTGCATTTAAGACCCAAACTTAGACAAACCTTATGCAAAACCTGAGGCCAGTTAATGTTTCAGCTGCCTTTTCTGAAAATACTAGATGACTTCTTTACATAAATTAATTTGAATATCAATCTCACTGCTCTAAATTTAATGGAAACCATGGGAACAGTTAATCTGGGTTCTAAGTTATAATAAAAAGGTACTGAAACTAATGCATTTACCTGAATCCAGGCCTACCCTGAATTTAAAAATGACTCTCCAATAATTAGTTCTAAACACAGAAAATTTATAAACGTGTTAGTTGTCTATGCATAGAATCTGGTTATTGGAGCAGTGGGGGAGGTGGTTGGGGGAGTTGTGGCCTGACCCCTGCTGCCTACACATGCTAGCACTTGCCCTGACCCTGCAGTGCCTGCCCCTTTGCTGCTTGTCCATCCCTCCTGCCACTGCTTACCCTGTGACTCTAGCTTTGGCAGAGCTCTGGCCCAGCTTAAGCCCAAGGCATAGAGCATGTAGTTGCTTTGGCCTCAGCCTGACTATATAGCAACTGTTGCTGTGGTGGCAGCTCCAGCTGGGTGCCAGAGCTAATGCCACCACCACTGCTGCTACCCAGCTAGGCTGAGGCTGAAGCAACCCTGTGCTCTGTGCCCTGGACACAGAAGCATAGGGTAAGTAGCAGAGCAGAGCTCGGGGGAGAGGGGAAATTCCTGCATAAATGATTTCAAATAGCTCTTGTAATGAGTTGAAGTTCTGAAGGAAAATATCCTTCTTGGTGTTGCTCTTGAGCACTGCAAACTTTAATTTTTGATGCGACAGTTCTGAGCCACTGAAAGTCACCTGTTGTTTGCTTGGCCTATTTTTTAATAATTGGTTACAAGAGTTCTTTTTTCAGTGGGTAGGAAAATGCCCAGGGGACTTAAAATGTAAGCTTTTTGGGGCAGGCACTAGCACAACCTGGTTATGAAGGTAAGTACTATCACACTAAGTATCAAACCTGAGTCATGGGTGTAGGTTG